TTGGCAAGAGCAGCCTCCTGGACTGCCCGCCCTGCAACTGCAGGTAGTCGGAGGCAGTCAGGAGGCAGGCCGAGGTAGTACATAGGGACTTCCCATGCACTTCACGGGGAGGCAGGAGGCAGTCAGTAGTCTTCAGGTTTCGGCAGCAGCACTCTGGAGGAGTGCTGCAGGAGTAGTGGTAGCGTTAGCAGTAGTCTTCAGCGCTGGGCGCTAGTAGCGCTAGTTGTAGTCTTCAGCGCTGGGCGCCATAGCTAGAGTAGTACTAGAGAGAGAGAGATTGGGCGGAGGCCAGGGATACTTACCTGCAGCGCCGTTGCTCCAGCTTCGTCTTCGAGGTACCTGCAGCACAGCGCCATCTTCACAGGCTAGTACCTGACACATGAGAGAGAGAGTTGTTCTTCTTCCTCCTCTCAGTCCACCATCTCCTTCTCGCCCTCTCGCTATCTGACTTCACTGCATCAGCAGACTACGAGAGAGAGAGAGGGAGAGGGAGAGCTTGGTGACATTTGGGTCCAGACTCGACATTGGACTTCAGACATTTTGAAGAGGGATAATTTGGGACTTGTGACGAGACTTGGCGTTGACGACTATCCCATCTCCCCCTTCCTCTTCTTTGTCTGATCCCCTCCTCTTCGTCTGTGTATGTCTGGACCTGGCGCCTCTTTCCTGTGTATAGCGCCAGGCCTCTTCACACCTTGTGATGAGCCTGATGTATGTTTGGTCTGCGTTGAAACATTGATTGGGGTAGTCATTAGTATTCTAGCATCCTGCTTCGCTATCTTGTACTACGTGAAAGAGGTCAGTCCCGGTCAGGTCAGGACTTGTATCTAAAATCTTCCCTGCGCTATAAAGCACCATTTTGTATGTATCGGAATGCACATTGCTTGTTGAGATTCCACTTGCACTGCATTGTCCATTCAGTCCTTTTTATCACATTGCGGATCCTCGGTTTATATGTACATCGCCCAACTGGGCATGTAACAGTTGGTATCGGACCACCGCACGTGAATCAGGACAACCTGATCTGACACGTGTGCGGGGACTACAGTCTTCCCCCGAATACAACGTACGGTCATTATAGCTGAATTTGGGGTATCTTTCAGTCTAAATACAGCTATAATGACCGTACGTTGTATTCGGGGGAAGAAGGTAGGTAGCTGATTAGTCTTGATTGATTGATTAGAGCACACTAGTTAGCCCCTAAAATCACGATTTTGACCTCACTGACGAAAATCGATTTTTTTTTTGTTTTCTTGGATTTCGTTTTCTCGCTATTTCTGTTGTGGAAAATCGCAATAGCGCAACATCTGAAATTTCCATTTTCGTTTTTCTTATGAAAATCCGAAATTTCGTTGTTGGAAATCCGGAATATCTTTTCCCCGAAAACTTCGATCTCCTTTTGCAATTTCCTGTTATTTGGAAATTCGGAATATTTTTTCTCGAAAGTCGTTTTTCAGAAAACGGTACGGGAAATCCCTCTTGCAGTACCATTTTCCAAACTGCGAATACTCTCATCTGAGTAAATCCGAATACTTTTTATTTCTTTTCGGAAAATTTTTTCTTTTCACAGTTCTATGATTTTCACTACCTGATAATCATTGGCAGTCTGAAGTTCGAAAAAAAATTCTCATTGATACTTTCGCACTTCAAGGGAGGTTGGGAGACCATCTGAACTTGCAAAACTCGGGATTTTTATTTTTCTCGAAATGTTTTTGCAAAGTTCCAACTTTTCTTTGTGATTAGTGGCTCCTTATCTGGGCGATTATCCCACCCACCCCTCCCCACCTATGTTGTTACCACCTCTAGTCTTACCTTCTCTATCTATCTCCGGGTACCCCCTGCGGCGGCGTTGGTGAGTTGCCACGTCAGCAGGCCACGTCAGCGGACCATGTCAGCAGGTCAGCAGGCCACGTCAGCCGACAGCAGTGCCACATCAGCCGACAGCAGTGGCATGTCAGCCGACAGCAGTGCCACGTCATACGACAGCAGTCCCACGTCAGCAGGCCCCCGACCTGGTCTATGCTTTGTGTTCACAAACAACCGTCATAGACCAGAAGTCCGGGGAAACAAACGAGGCCTATCAAGCCCGGATGCTGACCTGGAGTACCGAAACCAAGAAACGGGCGGATGACGTAGCAACCGCGGCGAAGAAGAAGGCAGAGGACGCCGAGAAGGCACGTCTGCTCGCAATTGAACAGCAGCGCCAGCACGACGAGGCAGCAGCAAAGGCTGCCGATGAAGAACAGGTTCAACGTCGTGAAAAGATATTTAGCGGAGAGCAAGTTTTGCTCACAATGGCAGCGGATTGGCGGGCCGAGGCCGAGAATGGGAAGATGGAGATAGCGAAAACAACATCGTTGTACTCCTCTCCCATCTCACGGACCTCTTGGCAACATGCATTACACACCAGGAGGACATCCACAGCCTCGACGACGCGCTGACTCAAGTTCACAGCCGCCTCCGGTAGCTGGAGCAGCGACCTGTCGCCGCCTCCGATGCCAGCTCTTCCAACACCTCCGATCGCCTCGAAGCATTGGAGATTGACATCGGCTCCCTCAAGGACGGCATGCAGTTACAGCAAACCGCAACACAACAGTTGGAGCAGTGGATCTGTACTGCCGCCAAACACTCGAGCTCGGAACCGTGCGAGACAGCTCCAAAGTTCGATGGGCAGGAGATCTTTTGCGACTCGACGAAGACATCCGATTCCATGGTTCCGCAAGTTCGAGCTCACGCTGCAGCTACAGTACGTCAAAGAACACAAGCACCACGCGTACTTATACTCCCGGTCGGGGGGCGCGTGCCAAGCATGGTCGGACAATCTCTTGTTCAAGTACGGAGTGGTAGCTGCCGACTTGCATACCAAGATCAACTGGGATAAACGGTTCCAAGTAGAGCCGCCGGAGATCAAGGCAATGGACAAGCTAATGGTCTTCGAACAAGGCACGTTGCCGGGTGTCGACTGGATTGCCGAGTACCAACGCGTGACATCCGTCCCAGATATCCAAATGGGCTTCAGAGCCATCCGCCACTATTTTATCTCAAGGTCGTGTCCGACATTGAGCAATGCCTTGACTCACGTCAAGGACACCCTGACGACAACGGCGGAACTCTTTGACAAGGCCACGCATATTATTATCACGAATAAGGATGCTAAGAACCTGCGTTCGTCTGCGGCAGGCTCGACCAAAGATCAGCATCGGCCGAAAGTGGCCGTGGTCGCGGCGACAACGCTGTTTGACCAAACTAGCGAGGTCGTGTCTGCCAATGAAGGGGACAGACTCGCAGCTGCCCGGGAAGGTGGCCGCCCCGACAAGGCCGAGGACGCGGCAAGGCGAAGACAAACACCGCATCTAGCCCCGGGCCTGGAGCAGCAGCTCCAGCCCCATGGTCCCAATACGGTCTCTCCGAGCAAGCATTCAAAGCGCGCATGAGATTTCACCAGTATTGCCTATGGTGCAACAGCGATCTCCATGAGACAATGGCCTGCCCATCGAAAGGCAAGGGCAAATCGGGAAACAGAGCACCGCCGGGAGTGATTCGACGACACTCTCGACGCCTTCGGAACCGGTCGTTTCGCGGGTGACATCCCTTCGTTCCGAGGCACATGTGGAAGTCAATAGTCCTCTTTTTTATTCTTTCGAGGACTATGCTGCCCGACTCGTTCCTACGCTGGGTACTCAAGCTCAAGGACAAGACGTGTGTGCGGCATCTTTTCCGTCCGGCAGCGGCGACTTATCGTCTTCAAGTGGTTCTTCACGGGATTCGGCGCGCGAGTTCAACATAGAGGTATTGGACTTGCTCACGTCCGGGGATTTCGCATGGCTTCCTCTTCCGACCATGGGCCGCTTGCCGGGACCACAATGCGTAGCATTATGCGCTCATCTTCACACGTACTTATCTTTCTATGCACCACCAACTTCGCCGACGGATGACAAAGTCGCGGTGGGGGACATCCTTGAGTATGTTACCAAGGTGGCCCACGAGTTTCGCAATCAGCGATACGACGACAACAACGCACCGCTCCTCTATTCCCGCATCCAAGTTGGGCAAGCGTCCTGCAGCGCTTTGCTGGATAGCAACGCGTCTCGCAATTTTATGAGTCAAGCCTTTATGCAAAGGGCTGGCCTTGGTGCACAAGGTCGAAGGAAGGCAAACCCGACGGCGATCAAGTTGGCAGACGGAAGGACGCAGCAACTTATCAACCACTACATCGAGGCCGTACTGGTGTATTTCGCACCTCATGCATGCGAACCGGTGACATTTGACATTTTGGACATGGACTTCGACAATATTTTGGGAATGCCTTGGCTTGCAAGTGCGGATCACATGGTCAACTTCCACCGGCGGACTCTTACCGTTCGCTACGCCTTCGGCGCCGAAATGGCGTGTACTATTCCTCTTTTGCACCCTTCGATTCGGTGCCAAGTGGTGACAGCCAAGTCATTCCGGGCTACTTGTGCTTATGAGCAGCCCGACGAAATCGGCCTATGTTTCCTACGGCTCATCGCGGTAGCCGACTCTTCACCCACGGACTTGACTTCGGACCCCCGTGTGGTGTGGTTGCTTGACGAGTTCGCCGACATCTTCGAGTCACCTACCGGTGTGGTGCCGAATCGGCCGATCTCTCATAAGATCATTCTTGAGGCCGGTGCCGTGCCGCCGAAAGGTTGCATTTATCGCATGAGCGAGGAGGAGCTTACGGTCCTCCACACGCAACTTGATGATTTGTTGGACAAGGGATGGATCCGCCCTAGTAGCTCTCCATACGGAGCGCCAGTTCTCTTCGTACGGAAGAAGAACAAAGATCTATGATTGTGCATCGACTACCGCAAGCTCAACGCGCAAACCGTCAAGAATGCAGGGCCTGTTCCTCGCATCGACGATCTTCTTGAGCGATTGGGCGGCGCAAAGTATTTTTCCAAGCTAGATTTGAAGTCGGGATATCATCAAATCACGATCCGACCGAATGATCGTTACAAATCCGCATTCAAGACGCAGTATGGGCATTTTGAGTGGGTGGTCATGCCTTTTGGCCTCACCAACGCCCCGACAACCTTTCAAGCGGCAATGACCAACGAGTTTCATGCAATGTTGGACCGGTTTGTGCTGGTCTACTTAGACGATATTCTCGTCTATAGCCGGTTATTGGAGGATCATCTTGAGCACCTTCGACGAGTGTTGGAGACGCTCCGTCGTGCCAAGTACAAGGCCAACCGCGACAAGTGTGAATTTGTCCGGCAAGAGCTGGAATACTTAGGCCATTTTGTCACACCAGAGGGCATCTGTCCGCTATCAGACAAAATTCAAGCCATCCAAGAGTGGTCGGAGTCACGGAACGTCACAGATGTCCGTTCGTTTCTTGGCCTCGCCGGCTACTACCAGCGTTTTATCAAAGGTTACTCGAAGATCGCGGCCCACTTGACCAAGCTTCAATGCGAGGATCGACCGTTTGACTTCGGAGAGGATGCGCGGGAATCATTTTTTGCTCTCAAAGCTGTGCTATTATCTGCGGAGGTCTTACACATATACGACCCGCTTTTGCCTACGCGCGTCACTACGGACGCGTCCGGCTATGACATTGGTGTCGTCCTCGAGCAACATGATGGCGTGGACTGGCACCCGGTCGAGTATTTCAGCAAGAAAGTGCCCGTCGTGCATTCCATTGACGATGCACGCAAGAAGGAGCTTCTCGTCTTCGTCCACGCGCTCAAGCAGTGGCGGCACTTCCTCCTTGGTCGAAGCCAATTCCGATGGGTAACGGACTACAATCCGTTGGTTTTTTACAAGATCCAAGACACCGTCAACAGCACCATATCTCAATGGATGACTTTCATCGACCAGTTCGACTTCTTTCCCGATCACATTCCGGGGAAGTCGAATCGTTTTGCGGATGCCCTTTCACGGCGTCCGGATCATTGTACCGCGGTCTACTCAACCTTCGAGATCGACAACGACCTGCGGGACAGCTTCATCCGCGGCTACCAAGCCGACCCCGAGTTTCGTGACAAATATGCGAATTGCTCCTCTCCTAATCCGGCGCCTTCTCACTACCAGATCCAAGAGGGGTACTTGCTTGTCCACACACGGGGAAAGGACCTTCCTTGCGTACCTAGTGACCCTCACTTGCGTACACGGCTTCTTGGCGAGTTCCACAATGCTCCTGCCACCGGACACTTTGGAGTCAATTGCATGATTGGCCGACTTCGCAAGCGATTTTGGTGGCCCGGCCTTCTCGGCGATGTCAATCGTTATTGCGAGTCATGCGAGGTTTGCCGACGCTGCAAATCCCGCAACCATCGTCCATACGGTGAGTTGCGACCATTACCGGTCCCCTTGCGGCGAAGGGAAGCAATTGTCATGGACATTACCGGCCCGTTCCCCAAGCACAAGACCGGCATGGATGGGATTCTCACGGTGGTCGACCGACTCACCAAGTTCGCCATGTTTTTGCCTTGTCGCTATCATGCCAAGGCACAGGAGTTGGCCGAGGTTCTTTACGCCGGTTGGATTCGAACCAAGGGTTACCCCAAAAAATTGTTTGCGACCGCAACACTCGGTTCATGTCCGATTTTTGGTTGGCGCTCATCAAGTGATGGGGCTCATCTCTCAAGCCCAGTTCAGCTCGCCATCCCCAGACCGATGGCCAAACGGAGAGGGCGCACTAGACCGCACAGGTTCTCCTTCGCACTCTCATCCGTCCTGACCAGAAAGATTGGGTTGAGCGGCTGCCGAATGTCGAGTTGGCCTACAACTCCTCCATCCACCCGGCTATTGGGATGCCGCCCTTCGAATTCGAGCACGGCTCGCCGGTCACTTCTCCGTTGGACACCATCATTCCACGAGCGGTCGAGAGCGACGACCATCTTTTGTTCTTACGTCGGATGCAAGAGCTTCTTGTCAAGGCACGCGACTAGATGGCTAAGACGCAGCAACGCATGAGCCAGCAGGCCAATCACCAGCATCTCCCTTGCCCATTCCGCGTCGGCGACCTCGTTTGGGTTTCCGTCGCGGAATTCAGCCTTGAACAAGATATCTCTCGCAAGCTCCTCCCGAAATGGATGGGGCCCTGGCCGATCGTGGCACCCGTTGGGGATGCACCCGAGGAACCTTCCTTCACTATTCAGGTGTCCGCCCACTTGCCCGTCTACCCGGTCTTTCATTGCTCCAAGTTGGCTTTTTACACGCCAGCGGAACATGACGGTTTTCCCGGGCGACGATCGCAAGACCCACCCTCTATGGACGGTTTTCAAGAGGTCGGCGACATCATCTCCCAGCGACGTTACGGCAACAGGCCAACCGAGTACTTCGTACATTTTGCATATTGCACACACCGAGCTGACCGTTGGTTGACCCGTGCGGAACTTCAAGCAACAGCTCCAGACGTTCTCGCACGCTACGAATGCAAGATGCAAGGCAAGCCGGTCTCTTCGGCTCCACGCCGCGCCCGCGTCCAGGTTCCACCTTCAGATCGTCAGCTTCGCCCTCGCCCCGGCTTGACTTCATAAGGAGGGGGGGGTGTTACATGCTGCGCCTGCACACGAGGGTCATTTTCCAGGCCCTGCGTCCCTCAGGCTGAAAGCCTGAAAACCAGGGCCTACAAGCCCCATGTCCATTCAGCTCGAAAGCCTGAAAAACAGGGGCCTACAGACCCTGTGTCGTTTCAGACTAAAAATGGCAGTAGCCTTTTTAGCCTGAAACGAA